ATAATGCAAAAAGAATTACTGCAAATACAACTATTACAGAGGAAAATCAGCAAATACAAAACAATTCTAGGAACTAGGACATAAGGTAAATACAAAAAAGACTTCACTGACAACTTTGTAAAACATAAATCTGCAATGTGATCTAAGAGCATGTTTATACTCACAAGTCATCTTTAAAGCTGAGAGCGAATTTGGCCTGTTCTACAACTGATGACTGTGAGTTGGCCTGATACAGTTCTTTGCCCTCCAAATATGACACCTCACCAAGATCTTCTCTGTAAAGCAAGAACACATAGCATTTTTTCACAAAACAGGTTGTTAACATACTAAGCAGCTCCATATTATCTTTAGTGCTCAAAAATTAAATTTAACAGTTGAATCCTGACTCAGTATGAACATCCTCAGCGTTGTTCCCGTTTCCTTTATGGAAATTTTCAGAAACGGAAAAGAGCTGCAGAAACTTCCTTTTAACAACCATGTATCCATATGCAGCTCTACTGCATATTTTCCAAGAATCTTTCAGTGTTTTCTTAGAATGTATTTCTGTCCATTTCTTGCTAATCAACACTTCCTATTCTTAGTAGCATTTCAATGCTAATGTACATCAAAAACTGGAATAATTTCAATATGCACTCTCACACTAGTCAAATAGTCAGTGTGATGTCTGTTCAAAGCAGTAGCAAGTTCCCACCTGTTGTCATACCCGGGTCTAATTTTCGCCACTGTAGAGGCAGCCACTGGCAGTCCTGGGCCTGAACCCAATGTCACATTCCCCAGTGTGGCACGGCCACTGGTGCTGTCCACAGACTCGCAGAGGAAACTGGGGAGGACTTCATCTTCCAATTTGTAAAAACTGTCTGCCATGTTTTTGAATGGAGCAGGTTTACAGCCAAATGTGGCTTGACTTAAATTCAGGTGAAACCCATCAGTAATGTCTAGGAAAAATAAACAGGAGACAAGGCAAGTTAGTGTTACATTTAGAACTCGTCCGATAACTTACTCAAACTTTACGCAAACAAGCACGGATGGGACTATTTGAATTGTGTGTCTGTTTAGAAATGATCAGTTCTTTGATACTGCCTTACAACTATGAGAACCAGTGAAGGAAGGTAGTTATTTGCAAGGTCTAATATACATATATATTATCATGTATATTGTTGCGCGACTATACAGTTTGGCCTATCTACATAACTAATTTAGGCATTTAGTTAACGTTAGTAATGCTAGGTTAGCTAACTTTTGACGCTAGCTAACCTACTTGCTAAAAACAAGTGGGTTTGTCAAACTCGCCAGCACGCTCTAAATTTCAGTTACTCCACTGTCTTCGTTCATTAAGTTAGAGGGGAGAGCTGCAAAAAGACATGTTACTGAGAGCATAGCTAAGTTAACTAGTTATCTAATCCTGCTTGCTATCGTAACCCAATTCTTAGTCCATTTCATCAAGAGAATTAAATCTTAACATAAACGTTAGCGTTAGTTGGACTTCAACTCACATTCAATACTCCAGAAGCGGGCCGAGACAGCGTTGTTTTAATCCAACTCGACTTTTGTCTTAATAAATTGGTACAAACAGGTTGCAAGACGTAGGTAAGTTGCAGAAGTAACTTACCGAATACGTAATTTTTTCAATAACGCTTAAAACGAGGCATATGAAACAAGTCGTGCAACAGTTCGTAGGACTAAGTAGCGCCCGGAAACTACAGGAAGCCCGCGTGAGCGTCATGTCGAGAGGGCGGGACTTAACTAATGTTAACCACTTTGATTGGACAAGACAACCGAGAGGGACGAAACTGTCAGTCCTGATTGGATAGTGTCCTTGTCATTCTGTTGGATTGCTGGACACTTGGGACACTTTGGAAAACAGCCTATTGATGAATGAAAGAAGGGGGATGCTAATTTTCAGACTTCAGACATAATGTTAATTAATTCAACTGTTGAAATTTGGAATTATTCGTGTCAAGTTGACCCAGGAAAAGAGCCAACATAGAAATAAACATTTATAAAAAAAAAAATCCTTAACATATATTGTCTTTATCTCAATTCCAAACAATATAAATAGCATATATGATTAATGTTTGAAAATAATCTCTGCTATATCACATTTAAAAATGGAAGTGTCATCAGTTTTTTGATGTAAAGTTATAATTTTAATTAAAAAAATAATAAAGACATGGGTTGTATGAATAATGCTTAGTGATGCGTATTATTTTGAACTGATATTGTCAATTGATTAGAGGGTTAGGGTTAGAGTAAAGCAAATACAGGTGATGAACAACATTAAAAACACCAGAACCAAACTTGACTTATTTTAGTTACTGGCTATAAAATACCTCTCTCAAAATTGCAAACAAAACATCAACGAAATGTACACTGTTTTAGTCACTGTTGATGAAATACAGTTGAAAGTCTGAAAAATACATCTCTAACCCTAAACCATCTGTGTGTCTCTCTTCTCCAATATTAGCTCTATGTTTCTGTGTCTCAGTGTGTATGTAGATCTAATTAATAACCCAGGTTGATGTATTGTATTGAAATGTATCCTTGTATCATTTTTCTTTTAGTAAAGATTTGATATGGGTCAATTTGACCCGAACACCACATAATGGTTAAGGAAAACAAATTTTCTTCCATACAGAAGGACATAAGGCAAAAGATGCCAGAACACTAGTTCTGGCATGTGTTCTGCCAAGCAGCTGCAAGAATGCCTTGGTTAACACACAGCTGCCCACTGAGAGAACTGCTAACCCAGGCATTCCAGTTTTTAACAGACGGAGAAGCATGTGAGCCATGAAATGAAATTTAATTCTCCCTGTCAAAAGAAATGACACAGCACTTATTTCCCTAATTTTGAAGTATAATGAAGAGAATTACCATTTATTCACACATATTGTGAATATGTGTCCTTCCCTTTTTGCCACAGGGAAATCTCTTGATAAGTAGTATCTGCCATGATAGGTTATTAATCAATCTGACAACAACACAAAGGCCATGGATCAATTATGGTATAGGGCAAATGTTCATACTGGGGAAACAAGGACTGATTCTGAACAGTTATTCCAGATTTTTCAGTTTCCTAAAACAGGCCCCATCTTATTGACAATCAGTCTGTAGATAATCATATCAGCTCATAATAACTACAATATCCATTAAAAAATGTCAATAACTGATTTTGTGTTTTACTGTTTGTGTGAAGTACCAGTCAAAAGTTTGGACACACTTATCCATTCATAGGTGTTTCATTATTTGAACTATTTTCTACATTGTAGAACTGAGGACATCAGAACTATGAAATAACACATATGGAATTATGTAGTAAACAAACAAGTGTGAAAAAATCTTTTTTTAGATTACTCAAAGGAGCCACCATTTACATTGATGACAGTTCTGCACAATATTAGCGTAATCTCAACAAGTTTCATGAGGTAGCCACCTGTAATGACTTTCAATTAACAGCTGTGTCTTGTCAAGAGTTGATTAGTGAATTTTCTTGCCTTCTTAATGCGTTTGAGACCATCAGTTGTGTTGTGTTATGTCATGGTAGTGTTTATATATAGTAAACAGCCCTATTGGACAACTGTACTAATCATATTATGTCAAGAACTGCTCAACTAAGTAAAGAGAAACGACAGTCCATTATTACTTTAAGACACAAAGGTCAATCACAACTTTGAATGTATCTTCAAGTCCATTTGCAAAATGCATCAAACACTGATGAAACTGGCTCTCATGAGGACCGTCCCAGGAAAGGAAGACCAAGACTTACCTCTGCTGCAGAGAAGTTACTAGCCTCAGATATCGCCAATTAACAGCACCTCAGATTAGAGCCTACATGAATGCTTCACTTCAGGTAGCAGACACATCTCAACATCCACTGTCCTGAGGAGACTGCGTGAATCAGGCCCTCACTGTCGAACTGCTGAAAAGAAACCACTACTGAGGGAGGCCAAAAAGAAGAGCGTAAGGACTAATTAAACAAGGAGAGTGAAGGAGTGCTGCATCACATGACCTGGCCTCCACAATCACCTGACTTAAACCCATTTGAGATGGTTTGGGATGAGTTGGAGCACAGAGTGAAAGCAAAGCAGCCAACAAGTGCTCAACATATATGAACCTCTTCAAGACCGTTGAGAACCATTCCAGGTGGCGACCTCATGAAGCTGAATCAGAGTGTACAAAGCTGTCATCAAGGTAAATGGTGGCTACGTTAAAGAATGTAAAATATGTTGTTGTTTTTAATAGAAAATAGTCAAAAAAAAAAAAGAAAAACCATTGAAATAGATGTGTCCAAACTTTACTGTATGGTACTGTATGTGAAGGAAAAAAAAACAACAATAACATAATTTAATATCTTACGGTGTGTATTCTGACTTCCTCCAAAACTTCCATCAGCACTGATTGATTATCACAAATACAGCCTCTGCAGTTACTGATGGTTGAGTCTGTCAGTCAGTGATAGTGACCCCAAATAGATGAAAATTAATGTTTTTTTTAATTGCATGTTTCAAGTACTTAAACACTAGAACACAAAGCTAAATATTGGGAACGTTAAGTTTATTAATCAGAGACTACCATATACATTAGAGTATTAAAATGGTTATCAAAACGGCTGATGGCCACATGTCATATAAATATCACAAAATCTACATGACATCTTCCAATGCCTTCTTTAAATTCTGCACAGAAGAACAAAACATTAGAAAACACAGAAAAAATGAATGTTTTTATTAGAAAAGTATGTAGTTTTGTGGCTCATCCCCAACCCCAACCACATCCCTGTTTATTTTAGCTAAAACACGTATTACTGTCCTTCAGCCTCTGGTAAGGGCAGCAGTGCTCTAGAGGAGTGTCTGTGGGGAAGAGCCTGTTGTTGAGGCTGAATGGGCTCAGCATCACAGTGCTCTATGAGGGAGGAGGGAGGCAGCAGGTGACCATACCTGGTCCCCGCTCTGGGAGGATCCAGAGGTGGAAAGAAATACCTGAAGCAACAAAAAAAAAAAAAAAAAGGAAGGAAGGAAACAAAGGCGACAAATACATGGACAGGGCGAGGACGATGACAATGGAATACAGAGGGGGAACACATAAAAGGAAGAAGAAATGAGAAATTAAAGGAGAAAGGGCGCATTTGTGCTCTAGAGGTTTATTTTTAAAAAGGTGTCTATTAAAAGAGGTGAACCACTGGCAAACTGCAACATGCTGTGATCAAAACAAAGTGAACCATGCAGTTCTTGTGCCAAAATTAAGCCCTCAACCAGGAATACCCAAGTATTCAGCTGGGACATGACATACACACATTTGAAATGCATTACCACAAGGGCAAATGGTAGCTGATGCAGAAGAGACATTAGTAATGTGCAGGATGCTGGTATATCTTTGGAGAGGTCAGCTGCCGCAGGGGAGGGGCAAATGGAGCTCTCTTGCCAATCCTGCATGCAACAAGCAGTACAATATCACATTACTTCAACAAACCCCGTGTCACACAGTTGTGTCAACCAGAAGATGGAATGCAAGAAAACATTTATGCAAAGTCATTTTACAAACTGCAACAACAAAATCTAATTTGATTGCCAAGTTGATTATTCTATAACATAGGACGTCATGCAGTAGACAGATCTGACGTTACTCAGGTTAGAGGTGGCTCCAGAGTTAAGTCAAAAACAACAAGAATGGTAAATAAAAAGGTTTTGTTAAGCCCGGGGTTATTGAATTAAACATAAATACAGCCACATATAAACTGAGTATTAGCTCAAACGCAATTTGTTTTCTGCCACTTTTAATGTCTGAATATGACACTGAATTATCATATTTGCTCATCTATAGTCCAAATATTAAAGCAAACCTTTGTAACTTGGGAGTCTAAGTCAGCAACATCACTCCCTAATGATGCCCTTTACACTGAAGTTTCTAACTACAGTTTGCTAACATTAGCCACCATAAACTATTGATCACACCAGACCATGTAAGGCTATGTTAACAAAACCCCTGAGTGTACTGAATTGGGAAATTGTGAATTTTATTTCTTATGAATTCCACGTTATCTGTAAAAAGAAGAATGCGTTATCTTTCTTTCAAAATTTAAACAGTTGCGCTTTAAAGCCGCCAATGTCAATGGCTGTGTTTATGCCCATACTATGTGTTATACTATTTTTCTAACGTTATTAAAGGTGGTTAATAAGATTCATTCAAGCTGTCCTCCTGCTCAGCAAAGAGTTTGGCAATATTTGCTCAAAGATACATTCAGAAAACTGAATACTGAGAATAAAAATAAAAAAAGATTGATGAGAAAATGAGCTTCAATTTAAAATACTCATTTAATGGCAACAGATGTTGTAGACTGAATCGAATCCAATTTCTCAGTATTTACAAGATGCTGTTTAACTAACTACACAATGGTTTTGCCATATATCCCATAATAACTAACATTCAAAATAATACTCACATATCAAATGTATATAAACAGCTTTATTTTACTTTTTATGCCAAGAAAATGGTTAGCCAATGCTAATTGGAAACATGAAACCACTCTTATAACATGCATCATTACAAATCAAGAGTAAATCCCTAAAAAAACAAACAAAAAAAAAACCACACCATACACACTCCACAGGCTTGATGCCCACAACTTGTACACTGGAAGCCAAGCTCTTTGCATGAGTGCAGCATTGGGTCAGTGTAGGCCCAGGAGTTTGTCAGTGAGCAGCTGCAGTCCCAGTCAGTGTGAGGCATAATAAGTTGTCAGTTCTGACTGGCTTGGGTCGGGCAGGGTGAGTGGCGTCAGATGCACCACACCACCTACCTTCCTGCAGACATCCCATTCAGTGCATTCTGGGAGGTCTGAACAGAGGAGCCCACCACGGTGCTCATGGCTGTGGGCTGACCGGATGAGCTGGTGAGTGGGCTGCCGTCTCCCTTCAAGATGCCGGTGCACTTCCAGTTGTCCATGTAGTTCGCTGCAGAGAGACAGGAGGTGAAGTCAGTGATCTAACAAGTCATTTGTCAGAGACCTAAACAAAGAGGACGAACCGACGAGACGATTTGTCTTGAGCTGATTTGACAGGTGAATTTTTCACTGTCACAGATCAGTTATAGCAGGATTGATAGTGCATATCATTCATTACTGACTTCACTTTTACATAAATACAAGCATATGCAGATGCTTTAAGATGGCTTGGTGGATAGAAGCCTTGGTGCTCTTTGCTACTTATCTGTTTTTGTTTATTTGTTAGTTTTCAGCTCTCACTTTGCAATTAGATTCACCAGGGAGGAACAGATGAACTTTTGACAATTCACTCCACAAACTTTCTCACAGCTTTTTACACAAACTGAAAGCTTTGCTGAGATTTTAGTTGAGGAGCAGCAGCAGCTCTGTATAGGATATAGAGGAGAACAGCAAATGGGATTTCAACCTTCACTCCACAATTGAATGAGTTACATTATGGGGACTTGCTGAGCGACCTTAAAATTGAGCAAGTTCTTGTCGACTTTTCAGCTGAGATGGCAGCCCCTGCTCCCAAACCAGCCCCTCATCCCTTGATCAGCAGTACCTGGCCAGCAGTTAATCCACATTAACAATAAGAGTCCCTGTTCGGACCAGGCGTAAATGTGTTTTTGGTGATTCCATCACAAGTGAATATTTACAACCTACTGCACCTCCTACAATCCCCTCCCCACAGACTGACCACCTGCCAGATGTCTGTTGAAGTCCTTCCTGTCTCAAGACCTGTGCTGACCAGCTGACGTTCACACAGACCTCCATTGGACCTCTGGAGGTGTGTGAAGTCCCCTCCTTCCAACGCTCCACAATCATCCTGGTCCCCAAGAAACCGTCCATCACAAGACTCTGTGACCACAAGCCTATCACCTAAAGGTCTGTGTTCATGAAGTCCTTTGAGAGACTGGTGTTGGTCCCATCTGAGGGACACAGAAGCCCCTTGCCGGACCCCCTGCAGTTGGCCTAACGAGCAAATAGTTCATTGGATGATGTAGTCAATATGGGATTGTGATACATCGTGCAACACCTCGATGACCAAGGGGCATATATCCCAGAAATCCTCCTCTCCAAACCCAGCCAGCTGACTGTGGCTGCCTCCACCTGCTGTGGATCACCAGCTTCCTGACAGATAAGAAGCAGCAGGTGAGGCTAGGGAAAAATCATAATCAGCAGCCAGACAGTCCGCAATAGCGCCCACTAGGGGATGTGTGCTCTCCGCACTTCTCTTCTCACTCTAAACCAACAACTGAACCTCAAGAGACCCATCTGTTAAACTCCTGAGTTCACAGACAACACAATGATCATCGGTCTCATCCGAGATGGTGAAACACCATGTGTACTGACGGGAGGTTGGACAGCTGGTGCTCTGCTGCGTCACAACAAGCTGCAGCTGAATATGCTCAAAACTGTGGCGATGACAGGGGACTAAGTCAATTTAGAGCAGTGAAAACTCATAATTCCTTGTACGTGTACACAGAGTTGGCCAATAAGGCTGATTATGATGCAAGTGCAAATGTATGCATGTACACACATATTTATAATATGCAAAACAAATTTTTCTTGTTGGAAAAGCAGGAGAAGGAATGCTTCTGTTAATATACACTATTCATCAAACACAAATACAGAACAGACAGCAGGCTGAGCACACTAATTAAAATGAGTGTATTACTGTTGCAAAGTATCATTTATCACATTGTTAATGAATGACTGGCAAATGTGCTTTATATATGCTTGTAAAGGACAAAAAATGTCAGAAAAACCAACTCTAAACAATTACTCAATCTGTCTGCTGAAGATATTCCAATAGTCTGCATGTGAGGCATTTAGGGGATATCTGTAAATTGTAGCTCCACAAAAATGAGTTACACTTTCCCCCTCTAAACTGCATGAGTCTCTGCATGCACGTCGGTCAAATGCTGTGCCACCAATGACCGCAGGTAAATTCTCAACCTGTGGGAAAGACTGAAGACCTGAGGCCTCTACTATGAAGCAAGTTCAACATACCCAGAATATATTTTTGTCATCTGTCTTAACTGAATCTAACATTGTCCATCCTGGATAAACTGTCCTACCAAGCTGGTTATCAACTGGTTCTGTAACTCTGGGATTACCAATCCAACTACCAGCGCTTTCATGTGAAAGAGGCGGAGTTGTTAATCATAAGCAACATCATCAGAACCATGAATAAAGTACTTAATATGATATGAGAAGAAACGCCGATACCCGGCGGTAAATTTGGTTATAGCGACATCAAAAAGTGATATTCAACAAGGTGAAATGAAAACTATATGATCACATGACTAAAAGAAAAGAAACACTAGAAATGATTTCCAATGATTAAAGTCAGGCTAAGGGTTTACTGTAAATAAGCACAGTAGTTACCATCAAGTTTCTTACTGAGGGAGTATTTTTGCTCTTTTGTCTGACGATGAACAAACTACTATGAGGGATGCAGATTCTATAAAAAGAAAGTTAAAGTAATGTCAGACTGTTTCTGCTGCCAAAGCAAAGAGGAGAAAAATGTTCAATTATAATTTTTCTGATAAAAGACATCAGAGGGTTTAGTTTTTATTTCCAGATATCATAAAGTCTCTGAATGTTATTCTGAGATTAAAGAATCTTTCTTCAATTAAAATAAAGCTATAACAGTTTGTAGTTATTTAGTGTAATAAACTCTCTTTCTTTATCAGAAGCCCTGTGTTAAAACCAGTGGAGACACATGAAAAGTCTCAAACAACATGATTCCACTGATCTCTAAAAAAATATCTGTTGCTCTTTACTATTTGTGATTTTATTGTAAACTCTTTTGTTCCTGTCGGGATCCTATAGGATGTTTACTCTGGTTTTCCAGGTTGGTGGTTGGGCTGTTGAAAGGTTTTGATCTGATCCTCTTATTCAGCGTAAATTACCATGGTGATTAACCCTGGTAAGAAGAACCAGCATTGTGACCCTGAAAACCCAGGATTAAACCCAAATTTACCTTGCTAACCACAGATCCTGCTTCTTAGCACAGGCCTCTGGTTTGAAAAAAGAACAAGAACGGTACAATTATTTGGAGATGGTTCGGATTTAAAAGATCAGGTGAGCCGTTCTGTTTTTATTATTTGCACAGCTGTGTGTTTCATTGAGCAGGACAGGAGAACCTGTAATTGTTCTCTATCTTAATTGGTCTGTTATTGTTGTTGAACAACTGAAAGCACATTCTTAGTGATAGGCCTATAGGCAAGTTATTTTATATAATTCAACTCTTATCATTTATGTGTTTTCTTTTATAATTGACATGTCTTGCAGCTGTATATTTTAAAACAGGGAAGGAAACCCTGTCTTTGCATTTTATTTTGGCCACAGTCTGTTTTAATAAAAGTTCTTGTGACATCTCACATGTGACTTTGACTTAAAACTGAACATTTAGCTCTCTTCATAGAAAATACAGAGATATATATTTGGTCCATACCGCTCACCCCCAGCCCTGCGCAGTAAAATGAAAGGAAGACAAATGAGCAGTCATCAACAGTAGCTAACAAATCCTCCCACCTTTCCATAGGCGCACACAGCCGTCATCCCCGGAGGAGGCCAGCAGGGTGCTGGTGATGTTCCAGCTCACACGCCACACCTGGGAGTTATGGTTGTCAAACTGAGCCATGATCTGCACCTCAAACTTGGTGGGTCCTGTAGAGGCGCTCTCCTTCCTGTCAGATGGATCCAAGACATAGAAAATTTCATTTTCATTCTGTCATTGTTGATTCTATATATGAATTCACTGAGATGTAAAATGCAGGATTTCAGTGACAACACTAACCACTGTGTGCGAGTCTTTTACATGACAACTTTGACAGTAAACAGAAAGAAACCCTGAATCGCTCACCTCATTGGAACAAGCTTAAAGATTCGGACGTCTTTTGTTGCAATGGCAAGGACGTGGAAAGATCTCCCCAGGTTTGGAGCAAATGCAATGTCATGGACCGCATCAGTGACGGTCATCAGCGTCTCTGCTTTAGCATATTTCCTTTTTAACATTAGTAAAAAGAAAAAATTAAACAATTATTAAAAACTTACAAAAATACTCGTTTTATTGTTTATACTGGTATATTTAAGAGTGGCATACACAACTCTACAGGAATACCTACCTTGTATTTTCATTGTACTCATAGATCTGAACTTTGCCACCATATGTTACATTGTTGTCGTCACTCCCCACTGCAAACATCGGCGGGTGGGCACGAGAGCTGGGTGGTAGGGAGAAAAAAAAAAAAGTACACTTCACTCAAACTCTACTATCACCTTAAAGGCTGCTGGGAGGTCATAGCTGATGGCTTTAAAGTTCAGCAGCAGAAAATCCTGCATTTAAAAAAGTTCAGTTACAGAATGTGGAGTTTAATATCGATCTAAATTTATATCTAACTCCTGAAATCTGTAAAGTTACTGGTTTCTGCCTTCACAGTCCTTCGCTGTTACAAATACTTACTCATTGAGCAAACTGGGGTTAAGAGCGCCAAGTTTGGATATGCAATACTACATTTGGTTTAAAAATAAAAGCTGTGATGTACACAGCAAGTTGTATTTACGCCTGTCAATTCTGCAGTAAGACCAGTTAGATGGAGGGCAATGGGAACTTGAGGTGAGTGAGGGAACTTCTAGGAGATATGAAATATTAGATTTCAGACCAAATGCAGTGATCTTTTTCGCAGAAGATATTTTGACTTGTCATGCTATCCCAAAACCCATGATAATGTGACAGTGAGCTAGCATACACAATACCAAGACCCTGAGACAGTTAAATGGTATTCAGCATATTCATTCTTTCTTTCTTTCCTTCTCTTCACCTCCTCTCTTTCCCCTCCTTTTGTGGTGTGTGGTGTGTAGGACACCTTGTAATGTTTTTTGTGTTAAACTGAGGGAAAAAAGAAAAAAAAAAAAGAAAATTGTTATCGCTTATGTCACAAAGACAGCAGGAGAGGTTTAATATTATTCGGCATTCTGTTCATTTGAGAGAAGATATAGACAATTAAAAAGAATTAATCTTTTCTTTTCTTAATCGTTTTCACTTTATTTAACATCAGTTCCTATATAACATTCCATTAATAATCCAATAGAATGAACCTGACAGTGTTTCATCTCTAACAACTTTCTCTATATCAAATCGAAATAAACTTTAAGTTTAAAACTAAACTTAAAACTCACAAGTTTTCTTTGGCCTTTAAGTGTCCCTAAGGTTTTATCTTTCATTTTAACCCGTGTGTTTTTATTTCAAACTGTTTCCTGACTGTCTCAGTCTATGGGATAGTAAAGACATCACATTTTAGGTGTTATTATGTTGTTTTGTTGTATATGTGCAGTGCTTTGGTTGTTTTAAATGTGCTTTATAAATAAACTTAATTTGATTTGATTTGAAAAATATATGGTTTCTTTGTCTATATTTATCTTGGTTTTAATTTAACATTTAGTAAAATGTGCTGTGTAGTAGCTACTCAACAGTGAGTTTATTATATTTTCCTATTATATCAGTCAGAGTACAGGTGTAATATTATAGGGACTGTGAGTCCCATCCAGAGAACAGTGTGTTTTATATGTATATAAAAATTTACTGTAACTGATGTTTTCACTAACAATGAGGGTAAGTAGACAATAATTCTTCAGTAAATTCAATTTTACTTTCTAGACTAACAATATATATACAACATAGCCAGTATTATGAATATTCCCAACACTGAACTCTCACAGTATTTTACAAAGTAAAGCTGTGTTCTGACCTGGAGGGATTCCACGAGATGCAGCTGCAGCTGAGCTTGCAGGAGATCTCGTGCTGCAGGGACCACTGACTCAGGTTCATAACATCAGGAGCCTCGTAAATCCTCACCACTCCGTCCGCAGAGCAGGTGGTCAACATCAGGCCCATGTGTTTAGGGGCAAACTTCACATCAGTCACTGAAGTTCTACTGTCTACTAATGTGGTTCTTTTTATCTAAAACAGAACAATGTGAAATACTTGGGTCAGATCAAACAGAAATGTATGGCATACTGAATATCAGCACTGTCTTAACACAGCAACTACAGCAAGAACAGATAGAATAAGCATTTCATTAGTGGGGTTCACTGTCATAACCACAGTGTACTGAGCACCATCATTCTGAATACTGCAGAAGCTACTGAACTCAAGAGTTCTCTGAGATTTAGTCTTATGTCTGTCCTACTAGTTGAGAAAGGTGCTAAAGTTGTACTCACCCAGTGGCTCAGTCCTCTCTGTTTGTCATTTGACTCCCCTACAATCTCTTCCCAGACAGCAGCTGTCCTGTCGAAGGAGCAGGAAGCTAGAACCTGCCCAAACTCTGGATGAGCCCAGGTCACTCTCCACACTGACCCGCTGTGTGTCTGAGGAAAAGAGAAAAGAGCTTCTGTCAAATCAATGAACTCCAAAACTAGTTCAAGACTTCAAATTTCAGGACACCTGACAGCTGCTTGATCAGGTGGTTTACCTTCCAGCTGGCCGTGCAGTGCCACTCTCCATTTTCACTTTTGTCCCAAACCTGAGGAGAGTAAGATAACAATGTTAGGAAATATTGCATTAAAGTATAGCCTACGTGTACACACATTAAGCTAGTAACCTCAGACACTCAATGACACACCTGAATGTAGTAAGGTTTTCACTTTGAGATTCTGAACTGGTTTACTGACTACTGATGTTAGATCACACCTTCATGTATGTACTATACATGCAGGAATTGTGTTGTTCTTTATTGCTATGTGCTAACTCTGTAGTGTTTACATTAAATCTGCTATACAACGTCCTTACAGCTACCGCAGGTTGTATGCTACAGGCACAGTGGCTAGCAAAAAGGCTAAATAAAAGACGGTAAAGCTACATTTATGGGTCAGAATTAGCAGTACGTTTAACAGATGACCTAACGTTACTTCCGTCAACAACTGGTGGAAAATGAGAGTCAGTAAATTCAATAGTAAGCTGAGATTGTTGATAATGTGGGTAAAATGTTAACAAGCTAGCTGTTACAGCTAACGCTAACATTAGCAAACTGATGTATGTTTCATGTAACTCACCTTGACGCTTTGGTCACTGGAGCAAGTTGCCATTCGCCGGCCGTGGAAATCATACGACACATCGTGTATTAGATCTTTATGATCTGCTGCGATACTCCGCGCTACAAACATGATGACAGGCCTGTCATGTGTCTACTGTGTGTGTGTTTGGCGGGTGTTCGTAGTGTGTGTACAGCAGTGAGCGTGTGCGCGTCAGTCTTCTTTTTCGGTTGAAATTTGCGGCAGACTAGACGCAGAAAAGGCGCGTTGCTACCCTCCACAGGTCACTTGTGAAATTACATTTTCAATGTGTTGCCAAACCTCAATCACCGTCATTCAATGGAATTAAATTATCAAAGAAAATAAAAGTCAATAAGAATATAATTGTAATAAAATACTATAGAATTATTAATAGAATTGAATAAATTGATAATGAAATAAAGAAAAGGAAAAAAATAAAATAAAATTACATACATATACACATATACAGATGCACATATACACATATATGCATATATTATATTCCTACACATATATACATATGCAAATATATATATATATATAAAAACATATACGGTACATACACATAAGTAAAAGCAGTTATCAAATAAATAAAGAAAAAGGAGAGGGTGGTGGTAAATACATTTGGCAAAGTATAGGCTAGGGTGTTAGATACCCAATTTAGCACATTCAAAATTTCTACCATTAGGTCTGATCTGGTTCCACTTTTCCAACCTTTCAGTGCCATTAGTGCTGCAGGAAAATGTTAGAGTTTCCTGGTCTAACATCCTTCATCCACTCAAATGCCCGAAAGATTGGAACAAGCTCTGCAGTGAAGACGGACATGATTTGATATTCACTTTCTATATTGTATCAGTAGATGTTTTAATTCTTATTCCTATTGCAGCTTTTCCATTACCCAGGCTCTTGGAGCCATCAATGTAAATCTGTATGAAAACTGCCTGTTTTTTCTTTAAGATGGTCTCTAGCTGAAGTCACAGGATCACCTGCATCCTTCTTCATGGTTTTGGTCTAATATGTCTACACTGGGTTCTGGCAAAAGTCATGGTGGAGCAGGTGGCCAGCACACTGCCGGACCCATTGACAAATCTTTCACTCCCTCCTCCTGTGTTCTCTCACCCATTACATTTATTAAACTCCCCCTCTTTACGTTTCCACACTTTCCCTGAAACTTGAGTGCTCCCTCAACAAACACTTAGCAGGTATTAATTGGTATTTCCCCCATTTCAATTGAAAAGAGCATTAATAGGTGTTATTCTAAAAGCCCTGCCACTTATTTTAAGTGCTTTAGGCTGCACCACATACAGTTTCTTTAGAACAGAGGAAGCTGCTGTCCCATATGCCATACATCTAGCCAACTGCAGATCTTATGACTGCCCTATATATCATCATGAATGCTCCCCTATCTGCCTCTATCCCATGGCTACAATTTCTTCAAAGGATATAACCCCACCGGCTCTTACTTGAATATTACGATCTCTCAAAAACTTCTTGATCCAGTTTAGCATCCTACCTTGTACCCCAGCATCATACAACTTTATCACAAACTCTCCTTCCACAACATACATGGGTTTTCAATGTCGAGAAATACCACTGCTGTTTACTGAAATATCTCTGTTTTCTTGAGAATATATACTAGACTGTCTGTGACCATCCATTATTTTACATAATACAGCTGTAAATGCAACTGCATGTATAAGAGCCAGGTTCATTTGCTATTTTACCAGGTTTCTGTAAAGTGACAACAACTGAGTGTTTCCATTCTTTTGGCAAATGCCCATCCTTGTATTGATTATTGCTAATATCTCCTTTAGTAACATGTCGCCCAGGTGGTGAAATAACTGGTACTCTAACCCGTCCCTTCCAGGTGTTGTCTCTCCCCTTTTGAATGGCTTGCTTATGTTCTTGCAGAGAAAAGAAGGTGTTAACTACATTTGTATTATCCTTATCATGCACTAGTTTCACTCAAGTTCTCATCCCTCTTCTTCTGGCTTGTTTAAACTCTTTGAGCTAACAAAACTTCCATTTCCAACCTCCTGAATCTTGTGTTTGAATTGAGTCATTGTATCCTTGACCTGTTATCCTCTTCTCTTACTGGAATACGAATACTCTTATTGGAATATGATCCCTCCACACTGTGTATCTGCCATTTATATCCAATTTCCCCACTAAAACAAGCTCAGCTGACGTGAATGTTAAGTTTCTGCTTGATTTTGCTTCTCTACTGACTTGGAACCATGTTTACCTACCATCATCTAATACTACAACTCTGTACCTGCCCAGCAAATTCATCAACACATTTCCATTTCTGTTTCATGTTATACTCCCCCAAACTGACCTATGTTCATTAGAATCCCCAGCCCATATTACTGGTAGTTCACCTTTATCCGTTATACCTTCCAGTTTTTCTTGCTCCAACTATAGTCCAGGGTTGTAGAGGTTAACTACAGAGATCTTTCCCTTCGCTGACCCGACTTTAACAACCACAACAATATTGACCACTGGCTATTAAACTCCTATGCACTCGACTGCAGGACATGAAACAAAATTAAGAATTTAGAAATTCATTTCCCTACACACTTACTCCTCATCTGACTGGTCCTTGCTCGGGTTGCTGGTTACCTGTTGCCTTCCCGCTATTGCTTGCACCGATCGACACTGACCACAGAGGGGCGCATTCACACCAATTGTAATTAAATCATATTTTGAGGTACTTTATGATAACGTTTATGTTGAAACTTGTCATGTCTAACTGAACAGTAACCGTATTGTAGTTGTAAAAAATAATGAGAATACATAGCTGTCATATTAAAATTAGGCTGAGTAACATCATTAGCTACGTTACTTTTTTGTCAACTGTTCTGCTACCGGGGTTGCCAGGTTCAGTATAATATATTTATATATATATATATACAACAGTTATATTGACACTCATATTGGACACTTGTTTCTAAAATATTTATTTTGTATTGTATGCTAATTTATTTCTTATTCTGTACCCTGCTGTATAATTAACAAAAAACTGAAACATATACAAATCTTTTTAGATATCAAAAATAACTTTGGTTACTAACTAGCAATAATAATTAAAATTCTGTTTACGTTACAATTTTGATATATGCCAACACATATAATCAAACATCCACACAGCAGTGAGTGGCTGGAATCATTTTATGTGGTACGTAGAGATAAACATAACTGGCAACCCAAGTCAGTCAGAGTGCATGCAGTATTGTGCAGGAGCAGCAGACTTCCCGCAGGGATCCCCAGGATTACACAGACTGCTGTTTACATGGCTGACAGAAAGGAGTAACTTGGTGAACGGTGCTAAAAACATTCTGTGATCATCCAGAAAGTGTCTCGGGGCACCAATTACGATATAATGGAGCAAGAATTTGAAGACATTGATTCGTCCGGGAGATGGCAAAACCTTTACAATGTAAGTCCGGACACTGGGCCTCTCGTGTTTCTATGACGATCGGTTGCTAACTTACTTAGCTAGCTAAGTTAATAGCTAGCCAGTTAGGCACATTTCCCAGTATTTGGTTACTTTTAGCCTAATTGGTGACACATTCAACCGTGTTGACCTACAGACTACAACACATTGTCTAAAGGTTATACATATGTTGCTTAGCACTTAGTAAAGACGAGTGGGAAACTAGAAATCCGCGCTAGTGGTCGCTGACTTCCGTAGCTAGAAAGCTTGTAGCTAAAAAACGTGCAGCGGCACAGTCCTCATAGTTGAGCTCAGTTAGCTAATGCTTGCTGACGCTAGCAGACGTCAGCTGCAGTTTCTGAGAATTCATCGGGACTTCCAGAGAAAAGCGCATGTGCTTTACCAGCAGCGGTCCAAGAGAGCACATCACGGAGTTTATAATATTTCTGTTCCGGTTTAACTTAGGTTGACCCCGTAATATGCAGCTACCTGCTGGAGGGTAGCATGTAACTGGATATGTTTTCTAAAAGTTACCTTGATTGGAAGTTACAGAGAGGTACTCAACCTTAATAGTTTATATATAAGGAGATATTTTTGATCTTGTTATAAAGTGGCCGGATAAATTAACCCAATGGAGAAAGTTAAAAACAATGCAGCTTTTCAGAGTGTTATCTGTTGAGAAGTGGAAATGTTTTTCCTCATGTTTGAAACTATTCTCACACGTGTTTTTTTTTCTTTAGTCACTTTTATTTTCATCGGTAAAACTGTTTCTGATGAGCTGTCACTTAAAAAGAAATAAAGTTATTGTCCACAGAGGTGGGGAAATCAAATTTGGCCTCACCCCATACACACTATGAAAACAATCTGTAGTTAAACAACAGCACTCAATACAATAGTTTGACAAATGAGAGCAAAGCAGAGCAGTACCTGTGAGTACAGATGATAGTTCCAATGAAAACAGTACAAATGACACCTTATTAAAGGCCTTTTATTTCTGGGCATGGTATTTACATGAATGCTGTCTGTATTACCTGCTACCACTTCTGTCAGGTAGGATGTATATGTCATATGCATTTTTTAAACATTATGTCCCCCAATTGATGTTGCTGAATTAATCAATGTAAATATATGCACACTAATGTTCTGCATGTCTTCTTGTTTACAACAGGAGATCCGTAACCAAGCCAGTGAATATCCTTACAAAGTGGCAAAACTTCCAGTGAATCGGAATTTGAACCGCTACAGAGATGTCAGCCCATGTGAGTCTTATGACAAATAAGGTTGTTAATGAAAATTTGTATTATTTTGAATGACGTCTTTGTGATTTATAATTTCTCTGTGATCTCTCATCTGGTTTCAGATGATCACAGTCGAGTAAAACTTGAAAACTCTGAAAATGACTACATCAATGCAAGTTTAGTGATGATGGAAGAAGCCCAAAGAGCTTATATTCTTTCTCAGGTACGGTGGAGTATAGCAATGTAAATGACACTGTGTGCATGAGTGTACATTGAAGAGATCTGTGGCCCACTTGAAGGAGACTGTGCAGGGTTTCACTTTGATGTACTCTGAGCTTTGCTAATAACTGGATTTTTTTCTTTTGCTATGTGCCTTTCTTTCTTTTGCTTCCACAGGGGCCTTTGAGGAATACCTGTGGTCATTTCTGGCTGATGGTTTGGGAGCAGTGTTCCAAAGCAGTTATAATGCTCAACAGAGTCATTGAAAAGGGATCTGTGAGTACATTG